TCTCTTGCATTCCTACCAGTGTCTTCCCCTTGAGGTATCTGGAGTGCATGTTTAATCCATTTTAGGATATATAAGTAGATTAAAATGTTAAATGATCTTTGTGTGTAAATTTCAATGCTAGTGTATTAACTGGTCTTTGTAGGATCATGATCATGTAGGATCATGGTTATGATCCTAGCACTGACATATCGTACTTCAGGATAGATATTGAAATGTTCTTTTTGAGGATGGATGTGGCACCATTCCTTTCCAATTTTTCATTTCCGGGCTAGAAGGTCATATGATTATTGATGTCAGTTCACTATGCCAGTGAGCTGCCAGTTTGTCATACTGTGGCGGCTTGTGTGTTTCTTGAACCATGTATATGTAGATATACCATGTTTCTGGAACCATATGTAACCAGAAATTCAAATACCAGCAGGGTCACCTTTGATGAACCAGTTTCAATGGCGCTTCCAGACTAAGAATAGACTAGGAGGAAGAAACAGGCATCCCACCTCTGGGGATTATCCACTGGAACCTTATGCAATATGTTGGTGCAGAGATGCAAGAAGAGGGCTATCATTCCTAGTGTCAGATGTAGCTTGCTTGAAAACAGATAATATCAGACAGATAGTTATTTGTCTCTCCTTGACTATGCAAAGGCATTCAACCGTGTGGGTAATAGAAAATTATGGATAACATTGAGAAAAATAGAATTGCAGAACATTTCAATGTGCTCATGCAGAACCTGTGCATAGACCAAGAGGCAGTCATTTGAGCAGAACAAGGATCTACTGCATGGTTTTTAAATCAGGAAAGGTGTGAGTGAAAAGTGGATCCTTCCACCATACTTATTTGATCTGCATGTTGAACAAATAATCTGAGAAGCAGACTGTCTGAAGAATAACATGACATCAGGCTTGGAGGAAGGCTCATCAACAACTTGTGACCTGCAAGTGATACAGCCTTGCTTGCTGCAAGTGAAGAGGAGGAGGGACAATTACTGACAAAAAACTATGAGTCCAACTTTCACTATGGATCACACGTCAATGTGAGGAAGACAAAAATCCATACATGTGGACCAATAGGTAACATCATGGTAAACAGAGAGAGGGTTGAAGTTTTCGAGGATTTCATTTTTCTTGGACCTCATTCCTTCATCATGGAAGCAGCAGCCAAAATATCACGTATTGCTTTGGGCAAATCTACTGCCCGGGGCCTCTTCACAGCATTAAAGAGCACAGATGTCGTTCTGAGGACTGACCCAAGCCGTGGGATTCTCAATCACCTCATATTCACGTGAAAGCTAGACAGTGAATAAAAACAGATCGGACAAGAATTGATGTCTTTGTATTATGATGCTGGTGAAGACGTAGCACGGACGGCCGGGAGAACAAACACACATCTGTCCTGGAAGAAGAACGGCCACAATGCTCCTGAGAGGCCAGGGTGGTGAGATTTTGTCATCAAGAGCGACTGGTCCTGGAAAAGGACATCAGACTTGGTAAAGGAGATGGTTTCAGAAAAAGACGAAGGCCCTCAACGATGTGGATTGACACCGAATCTGCAGCAATGGACAACAAGCATGACCACAATTGTGAGGATAACACTGTGGTTGTTCAGGTTTTGTTCACGTGAATCCCCAGGAGATCTTGTTCAAATGAAGATTCTGGTCCAATGGACTTGGGGTGGAGCCCAAAGATTCTGCATTTCTCATAGATAGGTAGGTGATTGTGTTAGTCTGGGTAGACTAGAGAAACAAATTAATAGCTACTCATATGTATATAAGAAAGTGGTTTATATACAAGATCAATTGAATATTGAGAAAACATCCCCGTCCAGTCCACGTCCATAATTCCAATATTAGCCCATATATCTGATACCAATCTATAAAGTCCTCTTCAGACTCCCAAAACACATGCAATGATGGCAAATGCATGAGGATCACAGCCCAGTTGGTTGGAAGTCATCTGGATTCAGTGGCGTTGTCAGCATCTCAGCACTGGCAGGGGTCTCTACGTGGCCTCTCTGGCTCCAGAGGTCTGGTTCCATCAGGGTGGGTCCATGTGGCTTCTCCAGCTCCCAGGGTGTTGTGCCATGTTTCTTATCAGTAGAGCGTCTCCCAGGGAGTGAGAGAGAAAGAGTCTCTCCAGCCTTCCAAGGAGGAAATCCAGGAATTCCCAGAATCCTTAGGAGAAGGCCATGCCCACACAGAGGCCTCATTGGCTACATCCTGATTAACAGACTTGGCTCCACCCCATTCACTCTTAATCCTCCCAAGCTCCAAATTGACACCAGATTAAATAGCTACCACAGTGACTGATGTTGGTGGTCATGGAACTTGGTTTTGGTTGTCCACAGTCTTAAACATGCCAATTTAAATGGACTGTTTTTATACTTGGCAGAAGTACTTATTACTGAGAGGCAAAAGATTATTTGTGCTGCTCACTTATCTGTTTGCATAATGCCTACCATCCTGGAATCAAATTTTCGTCTGCAAGTGATCATAAACAGTTGTCCTGTGAGCCAAATGCCAGCACAGCTATTTCCCCATCATGGGAGGTGAGAGCTGATCCAGAGGCAAATGTATGTCAGGTTTGGCATGTACCCCAGGTGCACTTTAAGGGGGCACCACTGAGCAGTCTCTGTTAACCTGGTGTAGCCCAATGTCCTTCTTCGACTGTGGTAGAAATTCAAAGGTGTGGTGGGGAGAACGGTGTAGAAGGGAAACACTTGTTCCCAGGGCATAAGTCCAAGGAGATACCAGAGTTGGAGTGAACTGACATTCCATGGAAGTGTATGTATAAAACTAAGACGGCCTGACAAGCAGGGGGAAAGGGTTCCACTAATGTGTGGTCAATACCAACATCTATTTATGTTGAAATTGGCGGGGAGGAGTACAAGTTAGAGCTTGTTCCTGGCTCTTCTTACCCTCTCTGTGTCCTTGTCCTTATCTGTCACACGTGCTGCGAAAACAACCTACAGCTGTCGTGGGACCTCACTTCAACCCAGTATCCAAATTTACTTTGGGAAGTAGAAGCTGGGGAAAAGCAGGGAGGGAAGCCAACAGGAGGTGATCCTGATTCAGCAAGAGACTCGTCTTTTCCTGCATGAAGAAAAGTCATTCTTGAAATCCTCCAAAGTTCCTAGTATTCGACTGAGTGATAGGGGCTACAGGTGTCAGGGTGGATAGCAGCAGGTAAAGAAGAAATTTAGTCAAAAGTACATTGTAGAATTGGAGCTCTGATCTTGCAGGAACAGGGGAAGTGCTCTGAAAGCAGACACGCTGGACTCTCTAGAGAGGTGAAAAGGTTCCAACTTAGGGAAACCCATCAGGAGCCCTGGTAGTGCTGTTGGTTAAGCATGGAGCCTTTTGTCAACGTCACATTGGTGGTTCAAACCCACCAGCTGTAGGGAAAAAGGTGAGGCTGTCTGATTTACAACTTCAGAAACCTTATATAGGGGCTACCGCGAATTGATGGAACGATGACTCCATTCTATGAGAGGGGGTTTGGTTTTTAAGTTTATAGGAACTTAAAGGGAGTCCTGGTGGCATAAGATTGGTTAAGCACTTGGCTGCTAAGTGGAATATCAGCAATTTGAACTCATTAGCCACCCATCTGGAGAAAGAGGAGGCAGTCTGTTTCCACAAAGGTTAACAGCCTTGGAAACCCTATGAGGTAGCCTACTGTCCTCCAGTTGGAACTGAGTCAACAGCAAAAGAGCTGGTTTACTGATCATATGGTCTGTGGAGTCGCTGGGTGGTGCATGCAGTTAATGCCCTCAGCTGTTAAGCAAACAGTCGGAGATTTAAGTCTCCACAGAGATAGATAAGCCTGGTGATTTCCTGCTGGAAACGTCAATCAGTTAAAATCCAATGCAGTCCTTCTACGATACAAATGAGCTGCCGTGATTAAGAATCAGCTCACGGATTCCCTATGTTGTGGGCTCTTTATCTGTAGCAGCGTACATGTTCTGGTCTAGCTGGATTTGTAAGGTAGGATTGAAGTCATGATGGTGGGGGGTGGGGTGGGGGAAAGGGTAGGAAGCATTAAAGAAGTAGAGGAAAGTTGTATGTTTCATTGGTGCTATATGCACCCTGACTGGCTCGTCTCTTCCTTGTGACCCTTCTATAAGGGGATGTCCAATTGTCTACAGATGGGCTTTGGCTGTCTATTCTATCTTGAAATCTACTTACTTCTTCTCCACTTGAAGGCTCTGTAACTACACCATTTACTCTGTTTATTCTGTAGTTACCTAATTTACACACTGATATCTCTGGCTCCCTATTTTCAGCCTTATAGGTTTGCTGTAGTTGGAATACTTCCACATCTGGATTGACTTCTAGGTGCTCTTGTCATCTATGTTAATCTCAGGCTGTGGTCTGCCAATTTTTAATCTCTTTTAAAATAACGTACTTTAGTATCTGTTGTAAGGTTGGCCTATATATTTTTTACCAATTCCTTTAACTTCTGTTTGAAAAAAGAAAAAAAGAATCAGCTCAACGGTAACAGGCGCTAGATACTTCATAACTTCCAACTATAACTTTTCAGTTTTGCATCCCTACAACACTGCCTCAGATAAAAGACATAGAAATCATATGAGTATTTAAGATGTTGGAAAAAAGTTTTCCAGAAATATTACGGGAATTTTACTCATTTGTAATTCAGATCTGTCAGTCTACAGTGAACCATGTCACAGAGTGTGTCTGCGACCCAGGTAGGGGTAATTTTCTGCACAGAAACTTTGGAAACTGGATACTTAATGCAGGCACGCTAGTTTCTTTTCGAAGGCATGCAATTATGCTTACTCATCCATATATATACACACACACATATACACACAATACATACTCATTGACTTGGTAAATACTTATCATCTTACACAAACTGAACGATTTTTTAAAAACAATTCACCGTTGGCTTATTTTTATATCTTATGCATGTTTCCCAAATACGTGTAGCCAGAACGAAAGGATCTGAGTTTGAAGACAGCCAAGTATAAAGACCAGAACAAGCTTCCAGGACGGACTTTTAATTTAGGAATTGTCATCCATTATATGGTGATTCCCAAGAACAGCTCTGAACCTATAACATTTGTATCTGATTTTTCTTTCTTTTTTTTCCTTCACAGCAAATACACACAAAGCAAAGCATACTGAAACTTATCACAGCACAAAATAGCAGTTTATGAAATAACATCGTCTCATGATTTTCTCTGAGCTCGTCCCATTCCTTGGTCAGTGTTCTGGCAAGGAGGCAGTCGCCCAGGCGTGGGCTCGACAGAGCCCCAGGTGCCAGAGGAGACAGGGTGGTGTTGGCACTGACCACAGAGGCCTGAATTTCATGTCTATGAACAGACAGAAGACTTTCATAGGAAAATTCAATTCGAATTACTTTTACTCAAGACTTCAATTTTAGATCTAGATGTGATGATAATTATGACAAAAATAAAATCATTGGCACATTATCAAGATGGATGGCTGAGCTGTACAGAGTGGTCAAATAAAAGGCCTGGTTAGTCATCGGGGCCAGCTGTCCCAGAAGAAATGACATCTTTTCCTGGTTTCTGAGTTGGTTTCCTGGATGTCTTTGCCTCATAATTTGTGCCACTTAGCACGCCATCTCTAGTAGGTACCCTTTCTGGCTAGAATCACATGGGATTAAAAATGCTGGTGGCACCGTTTTCCTTTCTGCTCAGATCATCTTGTGTCTTCAATAGCTGAAAAATAAAAATAAATGAGAAAAAGCCCCATCCTTAATAGCATGGAATTTTTTTAAGTCTCATTTGAGCTTACCCCTTTGACACCACACGCTAAACAAATCAGAGTCTGCATTCCCATTTCCCCTGGAAGTTTTCTGCACTTTCAGTAGTCATCATAGAAGCCTAATTTGGGATAGTGTGATAACCCCCAATGCTCAGCTCACTTTCACCAAGTCAATTCTGACATATAGCAGCCCTCTCGAGGGCTTCTGAGACTGTCCATCTTTACAGGAGCAGCGGGTAGTCTCTTCTTCGTCCTGTGAAGCTACTGGTGGGTTTAAGCCACTGAACTTGTGTTAGCAGTTCAATGCCTCACCCGCAGGGCCACTAGGGCTACAATTCGTAAAATAGATATCACTTATGGTTTCCCAAACTTATTTGGCCTACCGCCCCTTTTTCAGAAAAAAAAGTTTTACTCTGTGCCCCTCATAGCAATTAGAAGACTTTTGTATTATAGCCCATAATCTAGAATAAACTGTATATGTCTACTTTTGCAGTGCCACATCCCAGCCCCCTCCCTGCCCCACCCAGGTCCTAGATCAATCCAATGCCCCCCAGAAGGTGGGAACCACTGATCTAGGTTATTTCCAACACATCCCCCACATGTAAGTTCCTCCTCTTGGTGGTACCTCGCATAATTCTGAAGGCTTCTTAGTTTGTTGTTGCTGTGTTTCCAGGTTGTTCCTCTCACAGCTTAGTGTAGAAAGATGAGGAGATGGCCAGAGGGACCACATCTGACTTCCCCCAGCTCTAAGACTCATTGCCACGAAGCAGGGGTCAAATATGCCGTCACCTTCCATCCCCTTTTACCCTAGCCTACCACCAACTGTCCCAGGTTCCCTCATTCCCAGGATGGCATTCTTTCCACTGAAATCATCAGCTCTAATATCATATGTCGCCATCCCTATCATCATCATTGTTAGGCAGTCTCCCAAGTCTCAGCGATAGAAAGGCAAAATGGTTGAAGGTAAATGCCGCAGCCTTTATTTGATTGGTGAAGAAAGGAGCACACCAGAGCACTGTTGCCAGAGTGGCTTTCCCAGGCCTGGAGCCGGGGACTTTTATCAGCGTTTTCTAGGGCAATACTTAGCATGATGGGTGTCCATGACCGATCATCAGCACTAGTCCCTTGCGCATCCCCCATTGGGAAAGATAATGGGTTGCCCACTTGTGGGGTGTTAATGTAGGTGCAGCTTCTGCCTTTGGTCATCAAAAGTTTAGGCAAAGAGCATGCTGGTCTCCTGCCAGCCTGCATGATTGTGAGGCCTGATCTATTGGTAGCTGATTCTGCAATTGCAGCATTTATTTTTCTTCCTTATTTCAGTTGCCTAATACAAGAACCAAATATAAACCTACCTCAAAATGTCATCTCACACCTCCCTATTGCGTCATTGTAAATAATAGCTAACATTTATCATGATGTTACTTGATGCCAAGTGCTGTTTGAAGCACTTCGCATTCCGTTATTGCTCACATTAGCCTATGTCATGGTCTCTATTATGGCCCCCACTTTACATATGAGGGAACAGGCTCAGAGGAGAACTTCACTTTTCAAGTGAAATAAGTATGCTCCTGGGAAATCTCTGTGATGGCACCTTCCAAATGATCTTATCGCAAGGTGAGGAAACTATGGCTCAGCAAGGCAAAGTGATGGACCCAAGATCAAGTGGCCAGTTGTTGCAGAAATAAGACTCAAATCCAGGTCTGACTCCAGGATTCTTTAGTAGTGCTCTCCATAAAACACAAGGCCTATAAGATCCTCTAAGTACTCCCTCAATGCAAGAAGACTTTCTTCTATTAAATTGGCATTCTATGATACTCACCATCCTGACACAACCGCTGAAGACAAAGCGGGTGAATAAACAAATGTGGTGAAGAAAGCTGATGGTGCACAGCTATCAAAAGATATAGTGTCTGGGGTCTTAAAAGCTTGAAGGTAAACAAGCGGCCATCTAGCTCAGAAGCAACAAAGCCCACATGGAAGAAGCACACCAGCCTATGCAACCACGAGGTGTCGAAGGGATCAGGTATAAGGCATCATCAGAACAAAAAATCTTACCATAGTGAATGATGGGGGGAGTGCGGAGTGGAGACCCAAAGCCCATCAGTAGGCCACTGGAGATCCCCTTGCAGAGGGGTCTCGGGGAGGAGATGAGCCAGTCAGGGTGCGATGTAACAATGATGAAAAATACAACTTTCCTCTAGTTCCTAAATGTTTCCTCCCTGCTCCCACTACCATGACTCGAATTTGACCTTGCAAGTCTGGCTAGACCAGAGGAGGTACACTGGTACAGATAGGAACTGAAAATCCAGGGAATCCAGGGCAGATGAGCCCTACAGGACCAGTGGTGTGAGTGGCGAAACAGGGAGGGTAGAGGGAGAGTGGGTAGGAAAGAGAGAACCGATTACAAGGAACTATATGTGACCTCCTCCCTGGGGGATGGACAACAGAAAAATGAGTGAAGGGAGACGTCGGACAGGGTAAGATATGACAAAATAACAATTTATAAACTATCAAGGGCTCATGAGGGAGGGGGGAGCAGGGAGGGAGGGGAAAAATGAGGACCTAAAGCTGGGGGTTTAAGTGGAGAGAAAATGTTTTGAGAATGATGAGGGCAATGAATGTACAAATGCGCTTTACACAATTGATGTGTGTATGGATTGTGATAAGAGTTGTATGAGCCCCTAATAAAATGATTAAAAAAAAAAGATCCTCTAAGATACAAGACTCTATGTGATACAAAGCTTCACTGTAGCTCAGTTCACTCTGAATCACAATTAAAGGCATTAAATATGCTTGCCAACTGTTCTCCATGAAAAAAACTAAAGACTTAGTGAAAACCTCACCACTTTCTGAAATACCCATTAACAACCAGTGGGAGAGCTCTCATGAAAGAAGACTGAGTTTGTAGAATGTAGTCCATGCCACTTAATTGTACATGTAGACATTAGTGAACTGGTTTATGCTCTCTTGTGTGCATTTTCAACTACAAAATTAAATATATAAAAAATTTGAAAATGTAAACAAAAAGTCTATAAATGAAGTCAATGAAAACAGTGAAAATATCAGATAAAGAAGAAAACTCATTATTTGGGGAAAGCAAAAGGTGAACAAAGCATTAGAAGGCTTAATAGGCTACCCAAATAGATTTTTATTTTTAATTGCTAAATGACCAGGCTGTGAGGATTACTATTCAGAAAATTCTAGTTGATTATGGGCCAGTTACAGTGTGTACTTTAAGCTTATATTTGTCCGTTGCAACCATCAACAACTCAGAGATAGATTTTATTATCTCTTTCCGTGGCCTAACTTGGGTTCTAATAAACATAACTATGAACAAGCATTACTGGGATGAAACACTATTGGCCTCAGTGTTACAGATATTCTTAGATAAGATACTTTAAGTATCTGTACCTTCCATTTCTTATGTGTAAAAAGATATAGTAGAACTCAGTGATTTTTAAAATCATTCTAATTTTAAAATTATAAATTTAAAATTTCCAAGAAGAAAGCCCAACTCATATTGTCTGAAGTGACGCAGGCTGACTTCATGTAGAGAGTCTGACCACATATCACCAAACCAAGAGCAGAGGCAGTGAATTATTGAATGTGGCTCTTCTCCCTGCTGTGAGCTGAGGGAGGACATCAAGAGCATTCACCAAGGAAGCAAAAGGCCATAACAAAGACAAGAAAGAAAGAAAGAAAAGCTCAAAGTGGATGTTGGGAGAGAATCTGAACTGTGCTCTTAATCATACAGTAGCTAAAGCAAATGGAAGAAATGATCAAGTCAAAGGGTTGAATAGACCATTTCAAAGGGCAACTCGAGAAGACAAAGTAAAATACTATAAAGAAAAGTGTGAAGACCTACAGTTAGAAAACCCAAAAGGAAGGACACTCTCAGCATATCTTAAACAGAAAGAATTGAAGAAAAAATTCAAGCCTCAAGTGGCAATATTGCAAGATGTTATGAGGAAAATATTGAATGATGCACAAAGTATCAAAAGAAGATGGAAAGAATATAGCGTCTTTATACCAAAAAGAACTAGTCAACATTTTACCATTTAAGGAGGTGGCATATGAGCAAGAACCAACAGTGCTGAAGGAAGAAGTTCAAACTGCACTGAATGCATTAGCCAGAAACAAGGCTCCCAGAATTAAAAGAATATCAACTGAAATGTTTCAACAAAGATACGTACATTGTTGCACTGCCAAGAATTATTTGATATGGTTCTTCTAGCAATAGCCTTTGCTTCTTCTGCCAAATGACCTCAGTTCTTAAAAGAGTATAATGCTCAAGACAGGCTTGAAAAAAATTTTTTTTGTTAAGTTGAATCATTGTTTAGTTTGGTTTAAGTGGAAAAAAAAAAACAACTTGAGGGCAAACATATCAGGGATTCATCTAAGTTTCATGGCTTCAAGAAATCTGGAGCCCATAAGTTCTGCATTCCCCTCCTTTGATCAGGATTTTTTCCCTATGAAATCTTTGATCAAAATGTTCAGTAATGCCCACGAGGCGCCCTTCAGTCCTGGTCTTCTGGCAAAGGAGGTAGTTGGAGTTGGAGGCGAGGAGCCACACGGTCCACATCCTCCTTCTAGTCCTGATTCTTCCTCCTCCTTGTTTATTCCAGAGAGTAAAGATCAGTTGCTGTGCTTTGGATGCCTGTTTGAAAACTTTTAGGACCCCAGGTATTATGCATCAAAGTAGGAGATAGAGCAAAGCACTGAACACATTATTAAACGAATTAACTGAGATAGCTCATGAAAACATGACCCTAAGCCACCAAAGCAAGGAACCAAATTCCACGGTCTTTGGTTGTCCATACAGCATGGCGGCAGCCACTTTCCTCTTCATTGTTGTAAAATCGATCTCTCACACAATGTTTGCAAAGTCAGCCTTTTACATGTGTACAACTTATTGACAATAATTACAATAATTGACTGTGCCATCCTAGCCTGAAGGTAATATTTTCAACACTGTTGACACCCTTCTCTCCCCACCCCACCCCCCACCTCTGGTAACTACCAATAAGCTTTTTTGTCTATTGATTTGTGGTTTTCCCTCTTTTTTATATGAGTGAGGTTTTACTTGCCTTTTGGTGAATATTTGTCCTTTTGCGAATGACTTGTATCAATCACTCAGCTAATGTTTTCTAGCTCTTTCCATAGTATTTGAAGACACCTATTTTGAGTTCTGGCTATGTCAACATAACTGACTTGATTTTTGGCCTCTCCTGAGCCAAAGTCTCCCTCATCTCTTGTAGCTCTAGAAAGATGATACGCCCCTCTTTTATCTCTGCCCAGTCATTTCTATCTGTCCCAGTGAGTTCTCATTGCTCATCCTTCACCAGAGAAAGTCCAAACAAACCGAGGGACTTCTCCACTCTCTGTAGTCAAGGTTACCTGTTTTTCCTTGTGGTTCATGATTTTCACAAGCTGAGACTTCTTCTGACTGTGCTTCTTCCTTGTTTTTAATCATTTCTCCAGTTGCAAAGAGCAGATATAATTTCTGGAGCAAATTAATCATGGTCTCAGAACCATCACTGTGGTTGCTCCCTATTATAAAGAAATGCTGCTCCTGGGAATCAAATTCACCAAACGGCTTACCACTCTCTGAATCTGTTCCATGCACTTCAGGATGACGGCTGAGGTGACAGAGAAAAGAGATGAACGATGTGTCATCCAAGTCCCTTGCAGGATTGCATGTAAATGCATTCAGATCACATGACATGTATCCATTTCAACGCATGCGATTGAAATAGTCTGAATGTAGTTTGTGGGTGAAGTTTGACTCAAGGGAAATTTTGTAATATTCAAAAGGGAAATTAGATGTTTGTCTTTGGGTTGTAAGGTCAATATTATTTGTGCCACTGAATATTTATTGAGTACTTAGGGCTGTATTTTGCCAAAAGTACTAGAAAGAATTCAAACTGTCATGGGTTCTGTTTATTAAAGGGCAAATGTTTTTGTTTTTGTAGTTTGTTTTTATTTTATGACTTTTAAAATGTTTTTCATCTGCTACAAGATTTTTATACCCAGCCTTTAGTATTATAGGTTGTCTGTTTAGAAGTTATCAGTATTAGATTTCTATTAATCAGGGGGTTACTGCTTATTTTTTTGGTAAAAGAAACAGAAAGGGAAACATAGTTCTTTCCAACATGACCCATGTTCTGTTTGCTGCTAACAGCAGATCTGTGTGGTCAGGACAACAAACACACATGTGCATGCACACACACAAGCAAACTTGTGTCTTGAAAACAAAAAATTCCATTCATTTCAAATTATATCCTAAGGACTTTTTTCAGCTACAGCACTAACCAATCTCTGACTTCATCAACTCACGGTATAGTGTATTCTGTCCCGGCGTTGTTTAGGTTGGGAGAGGTGAAGTTGGCACATTTGGGTCCCAGATCTGTCGGGGGATATTTGTTGATGGCATCTGAGGAAAGAGTGGGGTGATTAGTCCATCCCCCAAAGTCAGCTCAGTTTCTTCTGCAGTGGGAGGCATTTTCAAGCAAAAATTGATTGTATTAAGGGCTCTGAAAAGTCGTGCTCTCCTGCAATTAAACATCTTGGTGCAGTCAATGATATATTTCAATGGTTGAGTCAAAAGTTCCTGTTTTCTGTGTATCTCAAGCTTGTGATATAATTCGAAGATGTCGCTTAACTTCTTTGATCTCTCTCCCTCTGAAAGGGGCCTCTGATTGATGACTCTATTACCTAGTGAAATGTCTGCCTGAGTTATTTTGTGATTGGAAGAAGGCACTACCTTTTGCATGTTATAAAGTTGATAGTACATATAACTCTGGAATTCTAAGATTCCTGGGGGTTACGTGAGCCCTGGGGGGCATTTTGGGAATCTGAACGTCTGGTAACGTTGGAAGAGCTGCAGACAACCAATCTGCTCTCTTCCAAAAGGTGTCAGTTTGCTCTATATCCCTGCCCTAAAATGATAACATCGGCTCAGACTCATCAGTCACCTTTGAAGTTCCCTCAACCCCCTCCTAACTGTTTGAGCCTGTTGTCTTGGGCAGAAGTTCTAGAAGAGATCTGTGTCCATGGCTCATAAGAAGTGAAGTCAGAATGAAGTGTTGTGTACAATGACAAGATAAAATCAAAACTCTTGGAACAATTGGAGCGTGGTGGTGACAGGACATTATTGGGCAGAGTGTATCTTGGTAGGGATTTTGTAACTGAAGTACAGTTTAATGGAGGAAAGTACAATTTTTAGGTGAGAATGAGTAGGGGTGTGTTAGCATCAGACAACTTTAACTGTGAGCCTTTGAGCAATTGATTTAATATCGCCAAATCTCAAATTCCTCATCCATAAAGTGGTAACACTAATACTTTTCTTTGAGAGCTATATTGATGATTAAATAATATAATCCATGAGACTTTATCAGAATACCTGGCACATAGTACATAGTGTCAGATTGGGATAAAAAAAGAAGCTCTTTTCAAACATATGGAGATTTCTTGGAAAAAACTTTGAAGGTACAATAATGAGGCTCAGGATTAAGTGCACTGGAATTTTTCTCTGTTTTTCATTATTTTTCACCAGGTCTTGGTTAGAAGATGTGAGTCTTTGTACTCCCAAGAAGTTACAGCCTTGGAAACCTACAGAGGCAGTTCTACCCTGTCCTGTCGGGTGAAGGTGAATCAGAATCAATTCAAGGGCAGTGAGCTTTGGATCCATGCCTTAGACTCCACCACTCTTCATTGACCAAAACCAAACCAAACTCACTGCCATTGAGTCCAATCCATAGAACAGATTAGAACTGCTGCTGCACAGTCAGAAAGCCTGTCAACACATTTGAATCTAGATCTGTCAGGGGATCCTTGTCTCCCAAGGAGTGACTGGTTGGTTCAAACCACTGACCTTTGGTTAGCAGCTGAACACATAACCCAGTACGCTACCAGGTTTCTTACTCTTGACTGAAGCGAAGCCAGATCTACTGACGGATTATACACAGAGACATTAAACCCATTGCATAAACAAAAGCAGAGAAAATCTTGAAGGACTTACGTCTGATCAAATGAACAAATGGCTTGATAAACTTGGTGATATAGTCCAAATCTGGTTCGTGGATTCGGCCAAGCTGGACTAAGTGATGATCCAATGGGTGGCTGGCTAGGTCTTCTAATTCCTTCTCATTGTGTGTAGGACCAAAGGAAAACACAAATAGAGTGTAGCCTTGGCACTTGGCTCTCATAGATACATTCATTAAGAGTTCTTTGTCTAAATGGTTGGTTTCACCAGCAGATACTATAAAGATAACTTTGTTTTTCCTTGGGTTGGGGATTCCTTCAAAGACATTGTCAATTGTCCACTGGAGAGCATGGCCAGTAAAGACATCTCCATTGAGCTGTTGAGCAGAGTTTTGGAGATGGTGCTTCATTTGGTATACACTGTTATAAGTGAGCAAATCGAACTCTAGGTAGACTGGGCATTCTTCAGAGTTGGGCATATAATCCGGAGGAGAGTAGGTCAGAACTGCCACTCTGTCTCCTAAGATGGAGGTCAGAGGATCTGGGGCAACGTAAAAGTAATCGAGCATTGAGGTTATCGAAGCTTTGACTGCCTTAAACTCACTCTGTCCTATTCTATGGGAAGCATCAATGAGGAAAGCCACGTCCATGTAATAGTCTTGAAGAGAAGTGTTTACAGGTTCAAACGTTGGACTGGATTCTTTTTTTCGGCCATGATTTTCATGCCCTAAAACAGAATAACTCATCATTCTTTTTTATTAGAAGGATAAATTCAAAACTACTGCCTCAAGAATGGCAAATATATAGCACAGGGTGGGACTATGCTTTGTTCCCACACTTAAGGAAGACATCACTAATCATTCCCGGTATCTTCCCCGATATATTATCCAAACTCTTCATCACAGAGCACCTAGAGCTAGACACCATCTCATAAGAAAAAAAAAATCTTATTTAGTACCCCATATTACATCTTTGTCAAAGGATGTATTTACTCCTCAACTGCTTTTCGTATGCAAGACAAGAACTATACAGCTATTTTTAGCAGATCCCAAATAGCTACAGAAATTGGAGTATACTTTTGCATATGATCAATTATACATAATGTATCTATGTCAAAGTTACACTTGCTTATGGCACAGACACATCTCCAGGTGTAGCACATATTACTGCACTTCGCAGATGCTGCTTCGTTTTGGAGTGAAGGTTTGTGGCAACTTGGCCAGCAAGTTTACAAGCTCCATTTTTCCAACAGCAAGGGCTCATTTCATGCCTCTGTGTCACATTTTGGTAGTTATCACACTATTTAAAACCTTTTCTAAATGATATTTCACATTTAATAAATTACAGTATAGTATAACTATAACTTTTACATACACTAGAATACAAAAAAAATCCATGTGGCTTGCTTTATTGTGATGTTTGCTTTAGTGTCGTTGTCTGGAAATGAACCCACATCTTCAAAGTGTGCGTGTATACACATTCAAAACATAACCGTGGAGCACTGCTATGAGATCGAGTGTAAGTGTTGACTTTAGAGCTAACCTGTCTAAGGTGTACTTTAAGACCGGGGTACCCAGAGTGACAGTCTATAAGCAGCTCATTGGCACATGACAAAATGAGATTGTATCTTGCACCGTGATGTAGATCTATTATATTACTAAGTATATTGATTAGTGTAGCTGACTTATTTCTTTTGGGGACAAGACTTTCTCAGCGAAGAAAGTCATGTTTTAATTTACACTGTGATGTATGCTTCTTGACTTCTTTCAGACCCATATTACAAGTCCTACAGGGATCCTGTGACCAATGTCTCCAATTGTAGGAATGGCGGCTAGTTAGTGAGACCACACAGAAAAATAAGAAGGTAGTCAACGCTTTTTTCTTGCATGAAAAAAGAAGGTTTGTGAATCTAGTCGGCGATAATTTGTAGATGCCCATTTGCGCTTGACCTTGTTGTAGAGGCATTTGCATCTATGGGTCATTTAATTTTCACAACATCAAATAAACATATAATGCATATTAAAGTTATAAAAGCTTAATATTGAAATAGAATACAAAAATGCCACGACCTATTAAATGTATAGTTGCATTAATGTCAAAAGGGTATAGATACCTAGATATCTATGTACAAACGTATGCCTCTTTTATTCTACTTTTGGCCTATACCAGGGTACTTAACCATTACTGTACCTGGCTGTATTATAAAAATTATGCAGTGGGAGTTCTGGTGGGATAGGTGGGATAAGACTTCCCAACAAAATTCTTGTAGAACAGCCAGCCATTGCTACCTTTGAGGATCAAACAGATGTATTGTTTTGACAAAAAGCTCCTTGGCACAACTTTCCTGGCCTTTTGCTTCATCAGTGCAGGTTTCAGTTGTCATAGCACTTCTGAGCTCCTTCCGGAAACCACTTTTTTTTTTTTTCCGCAAGGCACCCAAACAAGGCTAAGCAAAGTACATTCCTGAGAGAACTTGTCTGCAGCCACCCACTGATGACAGAAACATGCTCACACACATTTAGAATAAACCTTGCATGTGTGAACTGGAACTCTAGTGGAATTACTTTTTTATTTACCCTTCTGCACACACATATATTTTGTTTTAATTTCTTTGTTAGTAGGAACTGGAGGTAAATAGAGTTACTCTAATGTGGGCTGCTCTCATTGATGAGAACCAACCATCTTGTTAAGACGCTCCTCTATCTCTTTCTTTTTACAAACTACTAAGAAGTGGTCATGTATGCACCAGATTCTTCTTTCAGTAGTACATTTGCAGTCATGGAAGAGAGTTTGCATGTCACAAGTATGTGTAAAATGTATGGGCTTCTCATTTCCCTACTTCCAAATTCAATGCAGAATAAAAGAAGCTTCATTTTTTTTAGGGTGTAGTAGGTGAGGATTCACATTTCAGATGATCATTTCGGTATTCAATAATCCAACGATGTAAGCAATTTACCAAACCTCCCACTTGTGCATCCCATACGCTCCCCCCCCCTTCTCTTCTTCTGTAGAATATTATCTTCTCCTTCACTTTAGCTAACATTTGCCCTATTGCTTCCCCTTCCCTCTCTTGCCCACCCATCCCTGGTAAACATGAGTCTGTTTCTTTTGATTTGAAAAGCCTTTATCTTGATTGTCTCTTTTTATCACAAGGTCCTATTGTGATCACCTAACTCCACTCCACATTTTGCTGTTGTTAGATGCTGTTGAGTTGGTTCCAGCTCATAACGACTCCATGAACAACAGAACAAAATACTGCCCAGCCCTGCGCCATCCTCACATTGTTGTTCTCTGTGAGCCCGTTCTTGCAACCAGTGTCAATCCATTTCACCAAGGCCCTTCCTCATTTTCATTGTCCCTCTGCTTTGGCAAGCAGGATGTCGCTCTCCAGGAGCAATCTTTCCTGACAACATGTCCACAATACGTGAGATGATTGTACTTTTTCAAGACAGATCTGTTTCTTTTGGCAGTCTAGGTTATTTTCCCTGTTCTTCGCCAGCACCATAATACACTACATTGATTTTTTCTTCCATCTTCCTTATTCAATGTCCAACTTTAAGATGCACACGAGGCTATGGAAAAGACCATGGTTGGAGATGGGTACACTTTAGTCCTTAAAAGAAATATCCCTGCTTTCCAATACTTTAAAGAGGTGTTGTGTAGCAGACTTATCCAATGCAATGTGTTATTTGATCTCTTGACAATTGCTTCCATGAACCTTGACTGTGGATCCAACCAAGAGGAAATCCTTGACAATTTCAATCTTCTTTTCGTTTATCATGATGTTACTTATTGGTCCAATTGTGAGGATTTCGGTTTTCTTTACATTGAGTTGTAATCTATTCTGAAATACTTGATCTTCATCAGCAAGTGCTTCAAGTCCTCCTCTGTTTCAGTGTGCAAGGTTGTGTCATCTCCATATCTCAGGTTACTAACAAACCTTCCTCCAGTCTTGGTGCTACATTCTTCATATTATCCAGATTTTCTGATGATTTATTCAGCATACACATTGAAGAAGAATGCTGATAGAATACAACCCTGACACACACCTTTCCAGATTTTAAACCACTAAATATTCCTTTGTTCTGTTTCTATAACCACCTCTTGATTATGTACAGGTTCCTCACGAGCACAATGAATTTTTCTGGAATTCTCATTCTTCTCAAGGCTATCCATAATTGGTTATGATTCCACAGTGCCTTTGCATAGTCAATAAGACACAAGTAAACATCCTTGTAGTATTCCCAGCTTTCAGCCAAGATCCATCTGACATCAACAATGATATTCCTTGTTCATATTCTCTTCTGAATCTGGCAGCTCCATGTCAATGTACTGCTACAACCATTACTGGATGATTCTCAGCAACATCTTAATTGATGATTCTCAGCATCATCTTAATTGATATCAGTGATATATAATTTGAGTATATTCTGATAGATCTCCTTTCTTTGGCAAGGGTACAAATATGGATCTCTCCAAGTCAGTTGGCCAAGTAGCTGTCTTCCAAGTTTCTTGGCATAGTGAGTGAGTACTTCCAGTGCTTCCTCAGCGTTTTGATACATCTCCATCGGTAGTTCATCAATTCCTGGAGCCTTGTTTTTGGAATGCTTTCAGTGCAGCTTGGCTTCATCATTCAGTACCATTGATTCTTCCTCAAATGCTACCTCTTGAATTGGTTGTACATCCACTAGTTCTATTTGGTACAGTAACTGTGTACTCCTGTTATTTTCATTGGCTGCTTCCTGTGTTGTTCAGTATTTTGCCCAGAGAACATTTCGATATCGCATCTTGAGGCTTGGATTTTTCCTTTAGTTCTTTCGGTTTCAGACATGCTGAGTATGTTCTTCCTTTTTTATTTTCTAACTCTCCCTCTGTCATATTTTCCGTGCCTTCCCACCTGAGGGACTCATCGTCTGGCTCTACCGCAGACAGCCTTTTGTTACTATTCATGAGGTTCAGTAACTGACACTATTCTGCAGCCACCCACAGGGTTTTCAGCGGCTAATGCCTCTGAAGTGGACAGCCTGTTCCTGCTTCGTAGCCTTTGCTCAGTCTGGAAGTTCTGCTGAAGTCGGTCTACTTTGGGTGGCCCTCTTGGTAGGTGAAATATCAGTGACATACCTTCCAGCATCACAGTAACCCACATGCCACCACAGTGTGACAAACTTACAGATAAGTGGTGGTTGCTTAGCCTAGGTCTTCCAAATTCATCCATATCATGCGTGTTTCACAATCTCATCGTTATTCTTTAGCAATGGGTAGTATTCCATTGTGTGTATGTACCAAAGTTTTTTTTTATCCTTCCACCGATAGACATTTAGGTTATTTCCATTTTATTGCTCTTGTGAGTAGTACTGCAGTGAATATATATATATATATATATATATTTGTGCTACAGCTCCTATTTCTTTAGGATATATACCAACTAAAAGGATTGTTGAGTCATATGGTATTTCTGCTTCAGATGTTTGAGGAAGCAACATACCATTTTCCAGCTATAACTATAACAGTGTATGAGGGTGCTAATCTTTCCACACCCATACCAGTATTTGTTATTTTTTTGTTTCTTTCTCTTTTTTTTAGCTTTGCTATCAATTTTGGTGTGAGATGGTATCTTGCTGGTGATTTGATTTGCATCTCTCAAATGGCTCATGATCATGAGCATTTTTTCATATGTCCATTGGCCATCTTGACGTCTTTTTTGAACTGTCTATGCTTGTCCTCTGC